GAAGGGAAGGGAAGGGAAGGGAAGGGAAGGGAAGAGAAGAGAAGAGAAGAGAAGAGAAGAGAAGAGAAGAGAAGAGAAGAGAAGAGAAGAGAAGAGAAGAGAAGAGAAGAGAAGAGGAGGCTAAGTAGTCAGAGAACTGTAACATCATAATGCCTCCTAATAAACTAAATCAGGAGGCATGATGCCAAACTGATGTGCCTGATTAAAAAATCTACTCAAGTGGACTACATAAGTGGGGAAATAGGGTTAAGAGATGCAGGGGACTGACATTTCTATTCTATATTATTTTCCTTTGGTCCAGTTTCAAATGAGGTCAAGGCTACCACTGTGCTCAGTTTCATACCACATTAGCAGCATCTTGCTTGCAGGCTTAGCAAGGCCTTACTTACAAAAAGTTCCCTCAAGCAGAATCAGGCTGTATCCAATTAATTTGCTTCAATGAAATGCCACATTGTGATGACAAGCAATAAATGGTAAATTAGTTCTTTAGTGCACAAATCATACTTAGAAGTGTCCCTCACAGCAAGGGTTCACAGGCAGCACTGTAATTGTGCTGACCAACAAAGCAACGCTATCCCAGGCTACCAGCTTGCATGCATGGTTTTGGTCAATCTCCTGTAAAATTGTCCCTGTGAGGAGCAGAGGAATTAGACAACTTTTAAAGTTTGAAGCAGTGATCAAAATTTATTGTTCCGCTCTACATTCATCTGTCTGTGACTGCCTTGAGTTACTCGACAAAGGTAAATGAGCCCAGAAAAGAGGGGAAACAGCTGAAAGATATATGTGATTTTTGCAAGTTTTGAGATGTCATTTCACAAACTATAGGGTGGAAATTCAAGGAAATCTTTGTTAGTAAGAGGAAAGGAAAAAACCCCTAAACCTCAAAAACCTAAACAAGGCACAGCAGGGGAAAAAAGGAAGATGTAGTGGCGAAGGTTGAGGGTTTGGAGCAGTTACACCTCTATCTGCAAACTCCTTCTGAAAGCTGCTGACAGAGCTTTGGCATCTGATCATCTCCTGACTGCTGATTAACATAGCACTGTTTTATATTTAACTCAGGCCAGAACAGGAGGGGCTGGGGGTGGGGTTGCACTGCTTATAAGGGGAGCACGGCAGAAACAATGTTCTTCTGTGTCAGTTCCCTCCGTCTCCCAGTCCAGCTGCACTTCTTTTGATCATGTTTCCTCCAAATGCATGTTGCCTTTAATTAATTGAGCGTCTCGTGGAAAGCGAGGTGCGGGAGACAAGCAGAGAACAGCTATAGCTACACAATTAAAATACAAACCAAGACTGCTGAGTTTACTGAATGCAAGTGCTGAAGTGGCTAATAAGCTTTTTTGTGGTTAATGTTTTGCTCTGAGAACAGACCTAGGAGCAGAGATGGAGGGCATGGATTTTGAGGATGAGAAGTCCAAGAGGTACTGCATGAAGACAAAGCATGTGGCTATCATCTGTGGAGTTGTGGTTGTTGTAGGACTTGCTGTGGGGCTTGGTGTGGGATTGAGCAGACCCAAACCTCCAAAGACAACAGAGCAAACAACAACAACAACAACAACAACAACAACAACAACAACAACAACAACAACAACAGAACAGCCTCCTCCCCCAGTGGATTTGGGTCCCTGTCCTTCCAAGAATGATGAGACTGGAGACTGGAGACATTTTAGGCTTCCCACTTATGTCAAGCCTGTCCATTATGATCTGGAAATCAAGCCTGAAATGGAGAAAGACACTTACAGTGGGACAGTCAGTATATCCATTGCTTTGGAAAAACCAACCAGCTCCCTGTGGCTTCACCTGCGAGAGACCAAGGTTACAGAAATACCCACACTCCGGAAATCTTCGGGACAGCAGATTGCTCTGAATGACTGCTTTGAGTACAAGCCACAAGAATACATTGTGGTGAAGGCAGCAGCAGAGCTCCCTGTCACTGATGAAAGTGATCCCTATGTGCTCACCCTGAAGTTTCAAGGCTGGCTGAATGGTTCGCTGGTTGGGTTTTATAGGACCACCTATACTGAGAACGGACAGATCAAGTAAAGCAGTTTTATTTATTAAAATTTATTCTCTATTTTTACTTGCTCAGGTTTGCTCTATTCCTGTTTCAGCTTTTCAGTCTTGTCTCTCACCAACTTGCTGGCATTTCTGGGCTGTTTTTTAGTTTTCTTATTCCCCTAAGGAAGATGCTGTATTCAAAACCCTTTGGCTTCTGACTAGTGAATGTGGGCTAGAGAGATGAGAGGTTTGTTATTATTCTGAAAAGTCTTGTCAAACTCTACTGGTCTGAGCTTACCTTTGAACTGAATGACTCCCTCAAAGAGCTGGAGAGATCAAGGCCTGTTTTCATCTCTATAGTACAATAAATAGCATACAACTATCTAACATAACATAACACCCTCTCCTGTTATCCCCACCGTAACAGTTTTGGTGTAAAATGTTCTGATAGTTTTCCTGATAGCATACCTCCTTGGTTTTGTAAGCCTAAGGAATATTCAAACCAGAACTTCCCTGTCTCTCTTGCAGCTGGTTTAAATTATATGTAGGAAAGTCTAAACAATTAGGGATTATATTTTACTTTTGGTTATTTTTTTGGTTTTTTCTGTTTTTGGTGCTCCATCTCTCCCTTATTAATATATCAATAGTATTGAAAGATTACAAGAGCCTCTACCAGTTCAGCTAACCCATTGCACTTTCCAGGTTTGCACTGCTTCAAGGTAGAAGCTTGAAGAAGCCATTGCCCACTGCCCAAAGGCTTCTCTTCGCAGTTAATGTATAGAGAGGACACTCACCCATTTTCTGATATTTACATTTCTGAAGAGACTCATTCCAGCCTTTACAGCTGGGAGACAGACTTGGCTAGACTTTTACAAGGCCCTGTAGAAGAAGCATGGAGACAAACACGGATGTGTTTTCATGGCATTTCTTTGCCCTTCTGGGACAATGGTGTCATGAGCTTTTCCTTTTGTTTTCCTCCATCTAGGACTTCAGCACTTCTCTGACTTAAAAGGTGTTTTAGTTTTATACTTAGAGTAGTTTTGGTTTCATACTTTGAGCATCTGACATCTCCACAGCTGTTTTAAAGTGCAACCTCCTAGCATCCTTCTAAGTTGAAGTGTGTTACTTCCTTTACATTGGTGAAGGATATCTAGATATTGCATTTATAGCCCCAGGCCTGTCATAACCCCAGAACAGCAGGACACAGGTCTTCTGAGTTGCGGAGCAGGAGAGGTGAGTGCCTGTCCCTCAAATCAAGACAGTATAGGTAGACAAGGGCCGAGTATCTAATACCAGGAAGAAAGGAGGACTTTAAAACTAAAGAAAGTATAAAATGTGAGCTCACTTGGACTCTTCCTACATCTTGAATAGGATGCTGGAAACTACAATTGCAAGGATGATCTTAGCCAGCAGTCTGAAAACTCTCAGCACAGAAAGGAACTTGAAGGTGTGAGTTTGTTAGGCTTGAGAAAGGCTTTAATGAGTGAAAATTTTGAAAAAATTTTCATGTGATTGAAAATGGGCAGATTGGGCAGATTGTTTGTGGGGGTGGCAGAGGTGATGTACATGATAGTAGTAAGTATAGCTTTTAAAGTAAAGCAACCATCAGCCAAGTTGTTACTATGCAGCAGAGGGTAGAGGGTAGGATGGGGTGAGGAAGGACAGTGAAGGAAGGGTTTTATTACTGATTAAAAACACATTTTCCTCCAGCATTCTCCTTAAAATAATGCTGACTGGAATTCACATTTTTATTTTGCCTTTGCCTGAGGTAGACACCATCCTTGGAAAATTTCAACCCAAATAGTTCTGTTCTTGTCATGTTGCAAGTAAATGCAAATCAGATCAGGTAACAGCAATGATCAAACAAGTCTGTTAATAGTGGATGTTAAAGAGAAGAGGGCTGAGGTAAAAAGGAGATCCAAGATGTAATTAACTTACTCTATTATCCCTTCTGTGCAGTGTTAGAAGCAGTGGGAGCTTTTGAGAGATTTAATGACACTGAAAGTCAGCTCCTAGGGCTGAGCTGCTCCCCAGATGTTTATCTGTGAAGGCAAAGGTTTGCCAAAGCATAGCTATAAGGCCTTTTGTTTACAAACTGGGCACATGTCCAGGCTCTGCTGTTGCTTAGATTCAAATCTCCCACCACACTTCGTGGATAACAGGTAGAGATGTGCTGAACATGCCTCTAAGTCTGGGATCCTTGAGAGGCTTAGGGAGAACACCTCATTTGGGGATCCTGTTCAGACAGATCACACAATCCCCATCAGGAAAAAAGTGCTTTTGGACATGCCCTGAAGCAGATTGTGAGATACCTTGGAATCATGACTATTTAAATTGATGTGCATATGCAGGTAGGGAACAGGAAAGCAGAAACTTTGAAAATGCAGATTTTGGACACAGACCTGAGTAGATGCTTCTGTGGGTTCCTAAATCTAGCCATAAGCACTTAAGTCCTTTGGTAAAACTATTCCTCTGTCTGTGCATTTCATTTCCCCATTGATGAAAATGGAATAACAGTCCTTCCCTACTTTGCATAAAGCAGTGAGCGTAACTACCTTACATTTGTATTTTCTGATCTTATCGAAAGGAGCAAAAGAAGAGTCCTTGGCTGGTGTACTGGGTTATTCAAGTCATTAGTTTCTCTCAGGGAATGTGCTAAAGCCCCCTTGTATTTTTTCCTTATTATTAAAAATAACACAAACATGTCATAGCAGCTGGCTTTGATTTTTGCACCACTATTAGTGACAAGGTATGTTCTCCCTTTTTGAGGAATCCCCTCTGTTGTTCATAAGAGAACAGGAGGCTGGCACATGGCTAACAGGGATGTATTTAGGATTTTGTTGAATAGAGAAGTGAAAATTTTTCTTCTGTGTGCAAAAGTAACACTGCTGATTTTCTTCTTCAAGGAGAAAGTTTTCTCAGAAGAACCAATGAGTTGTAATTTTAAGACTGTGAGAAAAATGCTTTAATTAGCTCAGGGAGGAGGGGTTTGACACTAATGCCTTGTACTTCAGGGGAGAGGAAAAAAAAGAAAATTCATCATGGTTCTAAGTGCATCACTCTTTTATTTTGAGAACAGCTGGATGCAGTCTCAGCCAGATCTTCACTTCTTATTGCTATGATGTTTACAACTGTCAACTCTAGTTCATATTTAAAGGTCTGGACATCAACTTCAAGAGCAGAAGCCAACAAGCAGTGAAGAAAATCTTATCTAAAAATTACATTATGCCATGTGAAAGTGAATTACAACATTTCATGTTTCTATTGCCACTTCCATGCATGCCATAGTCTGGAGTTCTCATCATCTAGCTTATAAGAAGGGTAGTGCTGAGGTTTTTTACTCCTAATGTCTGTCTGCCTCAGCAAACTTATGAGGATAGATGGATTATCACCTTATAAATCAACAGATATATCACAATGTTATCAGTCTGTAGGAACAAGATATAAATGTGTCAAAATATATAGCCAAGTTTTTAACCAATAGCAGTGAAGTATTGCCCTGGAGGCTTGGAGTTAACTTAATTGTGAAATAGCTCTCAAATCCTATGAAAAGTAGAGAGTGACAGCAAAGAATGCACCAAGCAAAAAAAACTCTACTGAGTCTGAAATTATGTTAAGGTGAAAGTTCATTATGCTTTCTGCCCATGAACCTTTGAGTTACTATTCCAAGGAACATGAACCGAGAGAACCCAGACATACTACCTGTGTCAGGCTTGTAAATGACCCTTGCTGCTACAAGTTCCTAATGACCAGTTTAGTATTTAACCATCACAGGGAAATACCAAGGGCAACAGAAACACTGAAAAATTGTTTGTCAAGTGAGCTTGTCAGACTGCTGCAGATCTGTAATTTATGAGGTACACTTTTAATTACTTTTAGGAAAGAAAAACTACCTTAATATAGTTGGAGCAGCTGTAGAAGTGCTGTCAGAAAATGCTCGACATTCCAGATTAATTGAAGGAGCATCTGTGATCCCTTTCACCATCAATCACTGGAGAATATGCTCTGCCACTGTGTGGGTCATTAATGGGGGAGCCCAATGTCACTGAGAGAAGCAAGCACAACATGAACACTCAGAACCTTCACCTTGTGTTTTTACATGGCACCTATTGTCTAGCTCCTTCAGCTGGTTGTGCATAACTGAGATGACTTTATGACCCTCCCAACACAGCTTGCATAGCATCAGTTATGTACTAGGATATTCACCTGAACTTTCCATGCTTTCTCCAGCAGTTTCACAAATGGAGTCAGGGGAGCATAAGAGCACCAGGAGAAAACAATGTGGTAAATGCAGAAAAAGAAACACACAAGCAGGATGAGATTTATTGGCATTTACACAATTTCAAGGTGTCGCTTCAGGAGATGTTCAAGACCCTAATCTCAAAATAAGCTGCAGTGGGTAAACAACTCATAGAGTGACTTATTCCTTTTAGGTGATATAATCAGCTCTTTATTTTAGGTGCATAAATCAATGGGAAAGCTCAGCAGAAGGGTGAGCAAAGTTTTCACTATGCATGAGAGGTCATGCCTCTCTTATTGCCTGTCTCCTAAAAATATTTGATGATAAGCAATTTGCATTAGCTTTGCTCTGAAACCTAGAGAATTTTGTTGACAGATAGACTATGCAATGTCAGTTCATGCATTTCTGATGGAGCCTGCTTTTATGAATGGATAAATATGCACAAACATTTGTAGCTGAATTTAGTTTGTGAAATAATTTAAAAAATGCTTAGAAATTGCAGACAAGATTTCAAAGCCATATAGTGAAGTCTTGCCAATGTGTTGTTTGTTTCAGGAGCATTGCAGCTACTGATCATGAGCCAACAGATGCACGGAAATCATTTCCTTGCTTTGACGAGCCAAACAAAAAGGCAACATACAACATATCCATCATCCATCAAGATGTGTACCAAGCGCTTTCAAACATGCCAGTACAGGTAGGTATTTCCCAACTGCTGCCTAAGTGGAAGGGTTCTGTAGAGCCACTGAAAGGTAATGTGGGTTGCCAGGTTCTTGCACGTTCACAGACTCTTCTACTCAGGCACTGTAAAATTCAGGGTTAATAAACATTCCATGAACAGAACTGGTTGGCTGGTTGGGACTTGGAGAGGACCAGCACACAACATGGCAGCACAGAGTCAAATCCAAAGCAAAAATGGAACATCTCTTCTGTTGTTAGCCAGCTGACCTTCTGTTCAGATGTTCTAGGTGAGCATCCTCTGCTAACTATAAACAGATATTGGCAGACTCTTCAGTCAAACTGGGTAGGCTCAAAGAATGAGTACTCTGAAGGACTGCTGATTCCCACATAGAAAGTCTGAAATAATCACTAAAGCTGCATAATGGTCCAGAACAAGGATCTGCTGATCACAATTTAATGGCAAATAATCCTGCTAGCCAGAAAGACTAGGATTATTCCTTTTAATAATGGAGGATCTGAAGCCCCATCTATCAGCTCGTGGGTGTGGACGTTTGTCATCCCACCATGTCTATAATTTCCTGAATAACCCATTTCTAGACCTACTGTCAAATTCCAAATTTTGCATGAAATTCAATGGCATCAATTATCTACTTCTGGGCCTTTTGGAAGAAGACTGAATGGCTTTCAGATGTGAGAGTTTCTACTGAATAGTTCAGCTGAATGTGTAGTCCATTGTATAAGTTCTGAAGAGGGAGATAAAGTGCCAAGTTTAAAAAAAAAAAAAAAAAAAGAGCTTCCAGCCTCTCCAGCCTCCAGGCTGTTGGCATTTGCATTTTTCCAAACACTCCCCCACCCAGAAAACAAAGGTCTGCTTTAATTTAGAGTCCCCTAAACTTATTCTCCTAGCAATGCAGCTGAGATATCTATTACCAGGCTGATACAGATGCATCCATACCCTTTGTACATCTAAAGCTCTGACCCATTGTTATTAAAAATCTTTCTATGATACCTTGAAGGCCACCAGGCACTTTGATGAACAACACATGAAAGGAGATTGCAGTACCTTTCCTTACAGACCTCAGATAAGTGAGAGTACAAGCAAGGAAGTAAGGGGATAACACCATATATTATCAAGATTTATTGTGTTTCGAGATTTATTTTACAGCTTGACCATGTGGACATTGCCTCTATTATGGATCTACAATAATAAGCTTGCAAAGGGCTAACTACTGCTTCTTAATTGATTTGCTAAAAAATAAGTACAGATAAGAAAATGTAGGTTATGCTAAATTCATACTGAGGTTTGACTAAGGGATTATAGCAGGGAACTTTTTCATCTGGTCAAGGTCAGTAGCTCTGGTCTTAGTAGTGAGAGAACATTGGGAAAGATCTTTTCCACGTATGGAAATATAAGAGTTTGTAAATGCAAGGCATGCTGTATGTTACATGTCCTGTAGTAGTTGGGTGGTGTGGAGTTTTATAATCAGCATGGCAAAATCCAATCAGCAAAATCAGAATCTTGTACATTTCATTTGCATTTTTTACTGGAGTTGAGTTTCGTCAATTTTTTTTCCCACTCAAGTCCTGACTTTGTTGAAATAACAAAAGATATAAAAACAGAATCAAAATGGGTAACATAATGGAAAATTAGTGAGTGGAAAATTGTGAATACCTTTTCAAAAAGGGGTAATGGATATATCTGTGAATAGGTGTTTTTGCTCATGGAATCATATTACCTGTAACATTAACTGTCTGTGCTTTATTTATATTTTGTTTATAACAAAAACTCTCATGAACCACTGTATCTCTAGAAGGCTAATGTCTTATATATGCTTTTGGTTTTCGTTCTATTTAAGTTAGTCCAGTCAGAAGCACAAAAGTTTCCAGACTATAGAAAAAAAGGAATAGAAGAAATATATGTTCAGAATAGAATCACAGAATAAGCTGAGTTGTAAGGGACCCATCAAGATCATCAAGTCCAACTCCTGGCCCTGTGCAGGACAACCCAAGAGTCACACCATGTCCCAGAGAGCATGGTCCAAACACTTCTGGAACTTTGTCAGGTTTGGTGTTGTGACCACTTTCCTGGGGAGCCTGTTCCAGTTTTCACCCTCTGGGTGAAAAACCTTTTGATTATTTGATTATAAATCAAACCTAAACCTCCCCTGACTCAACTTCATGCCCTTTCCTCGAGTCCTGTCACTGGTCATGGGAAAGAAGAGATCAGTGTCTACCCCTTCCTATTTAGTGCCGTTAACAAACTTGAAAGAAAAACCATCTGGGAAAATCAGGAATGTTTTTAAATTTATTTGCAAAATAAAAACTATGATCAACACTAAATTTTATGTATATTTAGGCAAGCCACCAATTAGCAGTGCTCATTTGTATTTGAATTAGTTCAGGATAGATTTATTAGACTGGCCTCTATACCAGGCAGCATCCCTCCATCATGACTTAAAATGTGATGAATGTATTTAAGAGAAGGGAGAATTCAGTCTCTTCTCTTCTATGTCCAAAGTGATGTTATTTTACACAACTATTGCCAAAACAAAACACAGCATACACCAGAAAACTCCTGTTGGCAAAATTTCTGTTCATGTTAGCAATTTCAAATCCCTGATGAAAATTAGAGCAAGGTAAACCTATTTAGTGCCAAAAAAGCAAAGTACCATTTCATGTATTGTAGAAGGAAAATACCTTGTCTGTTCTCATGCCTTCAGCATGAACAGAAATGCCAGAAGAAGTGGACCTGGAGAGGTGATTTGTTGCTCCTATGCAGTTGCAGCCTTTATACAAATATTGTACTCCTATGCATGTGTTTGAAATTTCAAAAATCAATTTCATTATTTTTGCATTTCTGCAGAAAACTGTACAGCTTGGTGATGGCTGGAATCGAACAACTTTTGAGAAGTCAGTTCCCATGAGCACTTACTTGGTATGCTTTGCAGTGCATCAGTTTGCCTGGGTAGAAAGAATATCAGCAAGTGGAAAACCAGTAAGTCCTTCTGCAGCCTGAATGTGGTTCAGATGGCAGATATGCCTTGATTTGCGTCTTTTCTTAAAAATATATTTTTATACAATCAGTGACATATTTTTCCTTTTCCTGTAGCTTATTTTATGCAGCCTATTTTATCAGATTAGGTGTTCACAGTGGTCCCTCTGACTTTGAGTACATAGTGTTTTGCAGTTCTTCCCTCTCTCCCATCTTTGTGAGGGCCCAGTTAGTACCTCCCATATGAGCACACAGGTGAGGAAAGAGCACTCTTTTTCCGAATTCATCCCGGACTCAAAGCCCAGTGACTGAAGGAATGTACAAGTTAGGGAGTACAGGAGAGTGACAGGCCATGAATACTTTACAGTTTTCTGTGGGTTAAAAAGAATGAATTGTACTTGATGTTATTACAGCCTATATGCTGAGACAGGATTACAGTGCTATGTGCCATTATGTACTGGCTTGCTTTATTTCACAAGAGTGGCAACAGGCAACTGCCCAGTGTAAGCTCTGTAAAAATAAGTATAGAAGTGATAGTGTCTGCCTAAACAGGTGGGTATTTGGTAGATCCCCTAATGAAGTGAATAGGTTTGAACATTAATCTATTAAATTAATATAGGTCCTTCATTTAGGTGCAGTATGCAGGCCAATCCATTTCTTGCTAAGATTCAAATCTCCTGAAGGTGTAGCTGACATGAAGAGATCACGAGACATTATATTAAATCAAAAAACTGAAATCCAAAATACAACTTGCCCCTCAACAGAAATCCTCATTTAGCCTAAACTTAGTTTGGGATACTCAGCCTGATGTTAATTGTTTATTGGTTTAGATCTTTTTCTTATCTGATACACAGAGTGATCACTAGGGCTATATGCCCTTGCTTCTTTCCCTTCCTTTCCCCTTATGTAGCACAGAGTCTTGTCATTCACATGAGCTGGCAGTGCTTTCCTTGTTTTCTGGAGACAATGTCACAAATGGACAGGGAATCTAGAATAAAACCCCAGCCAGGCTACTGTTCCCTTAGAAAGCTAGCTCTTCCTTAGTTTCTTTAACTGAAAAAGCTAATCAAATCCTTCCCTACTGAAATCTGTTCACTGATGTTAAAATCTGTCACACAGAAATCTCCAAAGTTCTGATTCAGCTCTTACCAAAGGCTTCCAGTCACAGCACTGTGCAGATGCCTCTCTCTGTGCCCTCCCTAGTGTCATGCTATATGCTTATATTTCTACTTGACAAATAACTAAAGCTAAATTACACTAAGATAAGCAAATGGAGCCTGGTTTGAGATACAGATATAATATTCTTTGTTCTCTGCTGTTTGGCTAAGTAATTCACAGGAGTACATTTTTATGCCTCCCAGTCACACAATTTTGTTCACCAATGCTCTTCAGCATAGCTGATCCACTCATTATCAGGGACAGGAATTTGGCAACTTGGTCTCAATAGATATCCTCTAGAGTTCAGTTCCTTTAAAAATCAGAATTTGTCTAGATTTTTGTGCAGAATATAATGCAGTGGGGGGAAAAGTGTACTGAAGGAGTGTGCAACACTGTTTTCTACATGCAGAAGTTAAACATTCACTACTTGTCCATGCCACGCTCCTGAGTATGGCCCTGAGGTCACTGTTTTTTTCCCCAAGCAAAACAGTACAGCCCACAATGTTCCTGACTGGTTGTAGTTTTTCTAAATAAAAGGGAGTGTTCACTGAAACATGGTAATTAAAGCGTGTGTGTGTAGAAGCTGGAGTATTCATGTCAGTACAGAGGTTGCCTGAAGAAACATCTTCTAATTCAAGCCTATGTTACTACATATTTTATTAATGCTGTTCACTAAACAATGTCTGAGGACTTGCCTGCACTAGAAAACCTGGGGTTTAAGTGAGGTTAAAATCATAACTTTCCTTTCTCTTAACATGGACATAGTTTTACCAATATAAAACACATACATAAGACCCATCACTAAAAATTATCTTTTCCCCAGGGAAACCAGGCTATCTTTAGGGGCTTTAATCATATATATAGAAAGTTATTAATATATATAGAAAGTTAATTATATATATATAAAATTATTCTCCTAACCTTTCCAAGCCTTTCCAAGGCTTCCTGTCCAAGAATTTTGAAGACCAGCTGAACAATGAGGCATTTAGATTCACCAACTACTAAAAAGAACATTCCATAGTTTGTTGTGTAAATTTCTAACAATAAATCTCTCATTCAACAGAAAGTATCCACTTGATCCAAAAATTACTTTCATAAACAACAGCAAGAGCATACAGCTCACATGATATAGTAAATTATTTTAAAATTCTGCCATTAACTCTGAAAGCCCTAATGAAGACATTCATGAAATCAGTGGTGGGAAATGTGCCTACAGCTGGAAACAATGCTCCTGAGCTGATTACCTGTCAGGTACTGAATATCTGGTTTGGAAAATCACAGAGGAGATTATACAAATGAAACCCAAAGTCAGTTTTAGTGCAGGCTGAAGGTTTTGGAAACCATTAATATGGATCAGCTAGGGGACTGAAGACTGCTAAATTGGGTAAAGAGCTTACAGAAATGGAAATTGCAGATTGTAATTGCAAACTGACCCTGGGGGAAATCCCCTGGCTGGAATAGATTCCCGATTGAATTTCATAAGCTTTTTTTTTGGTTGGTTTTTTATTTTGGGGGTTTTTTTGGTTTTGTTTTTGTTTCAGCTTTATTTCTGACCACTTTCCCATCCTCCCCTCTCATTGGAGGAAGTGTAATTTATGGTATTGAAATCAATGTGTTGTCAGTTTCCAAAACAGTTCCTGGAATAGACCAGCTCCTTTTCTCAGCTTGAGCCCTAAACTCCTGGCTGTAAGACAGCACTGAAGGAGTAAACAAGCCACACCAGTGAAGTCAGATGAATGTGTCCCATTCATAAGAGTCATGGAGCTGGCAAAATGAGATCAGTTTTCCTAATCCATATTGAAATCTCTAATCCACACTGGAGATTTTCAGAGGTGGGGAAGAGAACAGTCAACATATAGCTCCAGCAGGTTTTGGGAGACAGAGGGAAAGATCCCTAAAAGGTTCCATGAATTCTGAGCTCAAACTTTGTCTTCACAATGTGAAGATAACTTCTCAAAAGGTTTTTTCAAGTTGCAGGCCTCCTCATCATGGGCAAGGGTGCCATAAAAATTCTAGTCCTCCAGAGCTTTCCTAGTGCTTGACAACAATAGCCAAAGCAGACCCAGGGACAAGGCTTCAGGGATAGAAAGGCCAACATTCATCACATCATTTTTTGCATTTTATATATACAGGAGGAGCACAGAAATGGTCACTCATCACACACAGGGCTACCAAACATGCAAGTTTGCACAGACTTGCCTGGTCATAAAAGAGAGAACTGATTTTTGCCTATGATTTCCTGGGGAGCAGCAGCCCAGAAGGCACCAAAGCTGAGACTGAGTGGCTGTGTGGGCCAACACAGTTGGTCAAACAGCCACTCTACCTGCACAGGCCAGCATGTCTGGGAAGCGTCACAGATCTTGTAAATGCACTGTCTTCAGTGGGTTTGAGATCTTCAAATATACAAGGACAAGAGGAAATGATAATGATAGCACATAGGAAAGGTGCAAAGAAGCTGAGTAAGATAAGATGCCATGGGCTTCTGACACTTTTCAGTACAGATGTGCTCCTCAAGATTGATCTGTGGGATCAGTCAAGATCAGTGAACTGCTCAGAACAAGTGGATCCCATTTGATCGTGCTCTCCCACTTTCCTTCTTGAGAAAACCAGGCCATGGGGAAGTAGGGGCCGGTATACAATCAGGTCCTGCTCCAAGCTTGGCCACTGTGAGCCTCTGGACATGGGTCTTGCCAGTTTTACACTTCAGACGAACAGTGGAAAGTGTGCATATATTGACTTGGTCTCTCTTATGTACAACACTTGAAAAACTTTGTTAAATAAATGTGATAGGGAACAGAATTCAGTGTTCAGGCCAGTCTCAGAAAAAACCTGCAGTGTTATTGATATGTATGCTAAATGCCTTTTCAGTGTTTGACACCTGATTCTTTTTAACTAAAAACTTTTCTAATTGTCTCTCTGTATTTTACAGCTGAGAGTTTACGCCCAGCCACAGCAAATACACACAGCAGAATATGCAGCAAAAGTAACAAAAATTGTATTCGACTTCTTTGAAGAGTACTTTAATTTGAGCTACTCCCTTCCAAAACTAGGTGATTATTATCATTTATATTTTTCATTTTGTGAATTCAGTGTTGTGGTTATGTTGCTCGTACAGAACTCTGTGCTTTGGTGGAAAACAGCATGAAAGCATTTGGCTGCCAACCGCTGATATTATGTCAGGATGTTTTAAAAACTGTACCAATGTAGTTCAAGATGTTTCTAAATGTCATGATGGATGAGTTGGTCTCTGTTACTGTTTAGTTACCAGTTCTCACAGTTCAGTTTGCTGAACTGGAGAACTGGTCCTGGCATGTTTATTTTAAAGCGTCTTGTGGAAAAAAAAAAGGCAAGCATTGGTGTCATCAGCAAAGGACCATCATGAGTTAAAACAGAGCCAGAAGTTTCAGAAAAATATGTACCACTTCCATGTGAACTTCTGGACAAAAGTCAGCAGTGAGATAAGTGAAGATGTAAACTGTCAGAGAGTATGTCATATTATTTATTAACCTTAGTGCAAAGTGGGTGTGTGTGTATCCACTTTTTAGAAAGATGAATGTGGTCCAGCATATAATTTGTAGTTTCTACTGCTGAGCTAAATAAAGATCTGGGACTAAATAAGAGTGGGCACACTCTCAAATTTTGCCCATGGTTACAAAACTAGCAAAGATAAGGTAGTGCATTTGGACATCCTTTAGCATGAAATGGACTCTGGATCTGATTCACGCAGTTTAACACGCACAAAAATCAAGCTGGGAATGCAGTCAGAGTTTTGGAAATTCTCCCTCCTAAGACCTACAAAGAGGTGATTCAGTTAGGTTCATGAACTTAAAAGGATGCAAAAATACTAGCTGCAAACAAGTCAAGACAATGTAAGAGGGAAAAATCCCCAAAACTTTGAAGACAATTAATAATGCTGTGCAAACCTTTTGTTGGCGGTTTGTGCCTGTACCTATCAGGCTAACCTAAGTTACTTTAACAAAGACTTTTACCTCCTCGTTTCAAAACAGCACCTGAGTTTACTACAAATATGTTCACATTTCAATGACAACTGAATTAAGGAAACCAGTACAATATGATGTTTCACACACTGGTCCCCAGTAATAATAGTCACTATATCTCACCTGTGCTTTATATTCAAACTTTCACTGTCATGAAAGCCTGATAACTTTGCCATGGCAGCACCTGGATAAAGGCCTGTCTGTGTGACAGGATGGACTGGTATCTCCAGGTCAGCAATGTCACAGGATAGATACTTCTGTAGATTCTACACTGTTTTTTCCAGAATGACCAGAATGTTGGATCACTAACCTTGACTTGCCATGTTGTTTCCTTATTTTTAGAAGTTATCCAGGTCAAACCTGGTGAATCAGATATGTTTCTGCATAATGGTTTATTTAAATATTGTATTTCACATTGATTTATGGCTTCTGGCATTACCTTTCTCCTTGTATCCTCATTTTGACTATCATTGAAGCCCTTGACAAACTACCAGCTTTGATTCTGTAATCAAGTTGTTTAATTTAAAATAATTAATTCCTATCTTCTGTTGGAGCGGGGTGAAGGGTTTTCATTCTATTCAGTTTTAAATCCATCTGTACTTTTTCACTAACCCACATAGAAAGCCTGTGGTCATTATTTGCAGAAGAAAATGCCAGTTCAATTGAGTCTGCAATTCTCATTTAAACCTGTATTGATTACTGACCATAAATGAGTGACCCCCACAAATTGCCAGGCATAGAAGCAGATGTTGTTCACTGCACGGGGGATTTACTTCAGTTAACATGTCAATAAATATTTTTATTACAACAGTGTGACAAACAATGTCATGCCTCATTATTCTACAAATAGTTGCAGAAGGTTTACTGCCTATAGCATGCCTCCAGACAATACTATTAATTTCTGGAGCCAAAATTAAGTAATGTATGATATGCATGTTCCCAGGAGATGGCATAGCATCACCTCCTAGTACAGATCCTCAGCAAGTGCAACTGATCCTACCTCTGTTAATCTCAGCAGAGCCAGGGTACTTGCTATCATCTGCTTTAGGCCGGTTCTCTTCTTGAACACAGATCATAGCATAGCCTGCAGTCCACAGAAGTAAGCCAGAATCACGAATGGTAAGAAAAATAGGCTGTAAATACACAGAGAGAGGATAAGCTAATTGATTTAAGGGATACAGTGGTAATCATTGTCTCTTTCTTTTAATGCAGATAAAATAGCTATTCCAGATTTCGGGACAGGTGCTATGGAGAACTGGGGGCTGATCACATATCGAGAAACAAACCTGCTGTATGATCCTAATGAGTCAGCCTCATCCAACAAACAGAGAGTAGCTGCTGTGATAGCCCATGAGCTCGTTCATCAGGTATATTTTAGGCCACGAGTCACTTTTACTTTTAGTGTTTCACATACATAGTCACAACATTTTAATCTTGAAAATACTGTCATTAACTGCATCTCAGGATCTTCTACATGTGTTCAAAATCTGATTGCAAAACATCATGCTAAAACAGATCCCTGTTAGAGCTTCAAAATACCATGACTACAGCCTTGGAATTTTTCTCAGGAAGTTAGATGCTTGGGCCCAAATTGTCAGCCAGTTTATGAAAATCTGTCTAAAATGTCTTAGAGAAACTAATTTACGTGTGCAGATGTCTCTTTTGGGCAGGCAAACAGGGACAATCAAACACTGTGGAGGCTGTCTGAAAACATATCCTTAAAAGCAGAAATCATCAAAGCAAGAGGAAGAAACTAAAAATATTTTAAGTGGCACATGAGTCATTAGCAATCTTCTAAGTAATATGTAATTTTATAATAAAAGTGATGTTTTAACACAAGGCAAGGCCTTCATTCCTTTTCAAACACCAGAATTATGATAATTTTCATCTGGCAGCAGGAAAAAAGTAAGCAAATGAATGTTCTATATGCAGATATGAGATACTGAAATGTACATGTACTATTTATCTAAACCTGCATCTTTATGTTTATAATTGTAGTGGTTTGGAAATATCGTAACCATGGACTGGTGGGATGACTTGTGGTTAAATGAAGGATTTGCCAGTTATTTTGAGTTCCTGGGAGCAAATAAAGCAGAACCAAGTTGGCAAATGGTAATTATTTCTGCCTTGTGGAGGGTTGGCGGGGCTGGGAGGAACATTTCAGAAAGGAGTAAAATTTAGACAAGGATGATGAAGACTTAAAGTATATTTATGGAAAACTAACACAGTGTGGTGCAACATAAAGAAAAAGCTGTTTTAAGTTTTTCACCTACCTATGTTAGGGCCTGAAACTAGTCAAAGTAAACTTCATGAAGTTTTAGTCTGCAGGGAAGAATAATTATTTTTTAACAAGTGAGTCAAAGTGTTTGGTTATTATGGCAAATAACACCTAGGTGGGTTCTGGACAGAGCCTTAATAGTTTCTCAGGGTTGCTTAAAGGTCTAACTCTGAAAGATGGAGATTTTCCTGTATTTATTTAGTTGGGCTGTACTCTCTTCATGGGACTTAGGATTGTTATCTGATCTGGTACGGGTTGGGAACCTGGGCCTGTCTCCACAGCTTGGGCTATTATCAAGGAGAATACTGGATTGCCGTTCAGCTTCTGCCAGCATTGTGTCATTGCAAATGCTCCAACTCAGACAATCTCTATTCTGTACAGACCAAAATAGGTAGTGACAGTGGATAGCCGAAGTGCTAACTCTGCCAAGACGCTTTAAGGGCGTTGCAAAAAAGTTAGCCTTAAATATGCATTATACTCTGGGAATAAAGGGAGTTTTCTTGCTACTTCCTTCCTCCCTTCCCAAACAGATGTGATGGCACATAGCATGCATATTTTCCCCAGCTGGCCAGGTGTAATGAGATTCTGGGTGATAAGACATATGCCAGTGGAAGGGAGCAGAATAGGTTTTGCATAAATTGAACTTGTTGAAATCTACTATCTCCTGAGCCTAACGACTTTAGAAGCAGTGCCTACTTGCTGCTTTCCCTACCTCTCTCCCTGTGGAGAGGCTAAGAACAAAATCATTCCCTGGGTCTCTTTTACACTTTAAAGTAGATCTGTTGTCCCAACTATGTAAAAAAAATTCTAATTACTGAGTTTGAAATTTAAAAGACCTTTTTAATCTAGATATTATGTTAATCTGAGACATTTCAATTTTAATCTAGTGAGTATTAGAAGAGGAAAGCTAAATTAAATTTTAGTCTTTTTTGGTCAATATTGATTAGGAAATAAGGGGATTTTGACTGCTGGCTACCTAATCTTTTTTTTTTTTTTTTTAATATTCAAATCAATTTTAAAAAAACATTCTAAGCTTGGGATGGGGAGCCCTGCCTCCTTCTTCCCTCCCTCCCTTCCTACCCAGCTCTTCTTTTGCAAGAGGAGACCATGCTTTATAAACATTGTCACACTTCTGAAATTGGTAACACAGGCTACTCTTTTTGCCTACTGGGGCAAGGTGGGGGTAGGATGGGGGTGTCTGTGTTATGATACACACAGGAAAACGGGATCTGCAAAAGACAATTTATCTGAGTTAAGGAGAAATAGTATACCTCCCCTGTCAGATGTAAAGGAAGAGCTTTCAAGTCCTTTAGAGGGCATGAAATTTTATTCTATTTCAAATTGTCTAGAGAAGCTGAAGTTCAAACTACTTATTTGAGAAGTAGGCATATACTCCTGCCTTTGTTTCTATTCTAATGTCTTCTCTTTCTCAGCTTGAACAGGTTTTAATTGAGGATGTGCTTCCTGTACTGAAAGATGACTCTTTGCTGTCTTCTCACCCAATTGTAGTCGATGTGTCATCTCCAGCTGAAATCACCTCTGTGTTTGATGGGATATCCTACAGTAAGGTAGGATATCCTCCTGTTGTGACTTTGGATGCAAAGGAAGTGGCAGCTTTGGAGAGAAGATAAAAGTGCTCATAATCAGGACTCCTAATTTCACTTGAGCTGTGTCTGTGCAGATCTTTGTTCTGGGTCATTCCCAACTGCTGTCAGTGACGATGCAGTTAAAAGCAGCTGTGAGAGGAGCAGTACAGCCAGAGCCTCATCAGCCACTGCACTCCACTCAGGCCTGCTCACGACATGCAGTGATGCAGGCAAAGCACAGTGTCACCAGCCTCTGCCACTAGAGGGTTGGGTTTAAAATTAAACTAAAACAGGTGCAAAGCACATCCCTCTCCCACCACCTCGTGCTGATGCAACCCAGTTATGTCAAGTCTCATAAACTAACACAAGGGCAGAGAAGGCAAGGGCAGACATCCAGGTATCCTCTCTGTCACTTCTCCATCACACTTGCAGGCCAATATAACTTCTGTTTTGAGGAAGCAAGGCAGAGAACCAAGCAGTGAAAACAGGAAAGTGACTTTTTATCTCAAGTTGCTCACAGTATCTCAGCCACCCAAAAAACCTTAGCAAAGATGGGTTACACCAATCTCTACTGGCATTGGCCTAAATTGGGAGATAGGTTAGCTCAGCATTTCACTGAAAGCTGAAGTGAAAGTGGAGCTCAGGAGTGCATTGGAGTATAGTAGTCTGAAGCTCAGGAGGTGGTAGCAGACACTCCATTTAGTATTTGATAAGATTTTTGCTCATCCCATCCCAATCAGTGACAGTGAGGACCTGTGCCTATAAAGACTCCCTAAGGAGCTAGTTGGAAGAATACCTTGGGTCTGCCTGAGCAGAGAGACACTGGAACGCTGGAGTCATCCAAGCACTGTTGTGACCAGGGCACACAGAGGCCTTGGGGAGCCCACAGCCTCTGGTAGCACTTGCCATGTGGGGAGGCAGCCTGGAGCTCTGTGTGTGTGGGAAAGTGCTGTGAGGTCCAGAGTGTGAGGGACACCAGCAGCCTGGTTCACCACCAGCTGAGGATCATCACTTTGAAGACCCAGCCTGGGAGGCTGAGGCCAGCTTGTCTCCCTCCATATTGGATGCAGCCAAAGCCACTTTGTCCTTAGACAAGCCTTAGGCATGGAACAAAGCAGGTGTCCCCCCATATCTAATCAGGGAGTCTCTTCACTCAAGGGCCCCAACAACACTGTTTCCTCCAGTTTTCTGTAGTGCATCAAGAGACAAGCCCAAAGAAGCACAGGAGAAAACACCCCTGTCATTCTTCTCCTCAACCAGCCATCTCCCATGCTGCTTCTGAACCTGATACACCATGTTTTTATTGGCACTTTCTTGTATGACTCTGTCAATGTTCTCTATCTGATGCCATAACATGCTTCCGCTGAACACACAAAATCCACCATTATTAAATACTGCTTGTTGCTTCCCCTCCAAGTTCTCATTATCAGCTAAACATAAAGTATTGCATCGACTTTAGCTTTAGCTGTGCTGAAGTAACTGTAGATACTACTTTTATAAGCTAGACTTGATCCATCCATTTCTATCAGTTTTCTGTTTTCAATTGTTAAATTCTCTATCCAACAATACAACCAGTATTTATTGCATCATAAATGCCTCACAGTCAAACCATAAACCATGTAAAAACCTGCATTGTGTAATACAGTTTTAAATCAAAAACAAAAGGCATGAAATATACAGAACTAAATCAAATACTCTGGATCAAAATGTATTTTAGTGGTGAGCTAAGCAAAAGACATACTTTTGCAGGGTCTGCAAAAACAATAGAGAAAAAAATCCTAGCTTTTACTCATCTGTTTGTGCCTAGATAATTGCTACATGAACTCATTTTTTTAAGCAAAAACACTTGAGGACTTGTGCATTGTTTGGGAACAGTTTGCTTGGGATATAATTTGACTTGGGTTATAATTTGGCTTGAAAGAGAAAGTCTTTGCATAGATTTAGCTCAAATTACTGTTGGTATTTATATATAAATGCATGACAAAATTAGCTTGTTTCTTTTTGGCTTTATTTTGGCTTCACTTTTGCATTTTTCTTTTAAAAACAATCTTCTCATGATAATATTCATCACTAAACAAATAAAGCATAAATTGGAATGCTCTCTGTTAGTCTTACCAGAACAACCAGAGAGCTTATCCAATACTAAAACCCTAATGAATTGCCTAAGGGTCTATAGAGTCATTGCAGTGTGTTCTGTACAAAATCCTCTAACTGCTGGGTGACTGGTAGGGCATTATATGCCTAGGAAAGCTCTACTAGAATAGAGCTGGTGAGTGAGTAAACAATTAATGTACATAATTGTTTTAATATGCTTTTAAAAGTATTTGCATCTCATCTCTTTCCCAGTTTAATCTTCTCTTTTATTTTGAAAGGTTTTATTAAAGTAACAGTGATTTTTTTTTTGTCTTAAATAAGATCTGTTAGAAATTTGCTCTTGGATCCTCACATTTTTGGAAATTCCCAGCTACAGAAGTTTAGGACTCATCTTCCACATTTCTGCCACAAACAAATCTTGTCACATACTTGGCAATTACTATGAAATTATGTGGGTGTTGATAAAAGACTCCCCCTATATCACCATCAGAGAACATCAGCTAGTCAAATTAAAGTTAGTTTCCTGAGCCTCCCCAAACAGTTGTAAGAAAAGACAGTTATTAAAATACTGGCATTCCGATATTCAGTGATTTTTTGTTAGGATGAGTTTTTCTCAAACACACTCCATCATGGAGTACAGAGGAATGACAAGAGAGGGGGGAAGAGACTGAAAAATAATAGTAGAAGGTAAAAGTGACTAACTATACATTACAATTTAAAGAAGTCTCCACAGTTACCAAATGCATGTATAAGTGTGTATTTCTACTTTTAATATAAATGGGAGGGGGTGGTTTATGAGAGGTGATACAGGTGGTAAGAAGTAGCTGAGTGACAAAGCTGAGGACCTGAGGTTCCTTACTGCATACTCATGGCCTTATGATACTTTTTTATGATCACCACTGACTATTAAGCAGACTTATGATTATCACTAATGGATATTTCTTCTAAATGTACTGAATTGGTTTTGAACATATTCCATGGCAAACGCTTTTCCGATACAGATTTCTGTAGCAGAAAACAGTCATCTGCTGACACCTTGACTCTCCAGCAATAGCCTGGAAAGCACTTTGAGGCATATCTGTTCAAACAGTCCCTCTGCCATGACTCATCTAGTCATTATTCTCAGACACATAAATAGAGGAAACAGGATTTACTGAGAATTCAGATAATATTCTTGTTTTCATGGGACAACTGGATTTTTAAACCATTCATAGCATTAGGCTCTCAACTGCTCCTTGATTTCACTCAGAAAATGAAAACATGCTAATCCTAAAATTGTATTCGCATCTTAGATTGAGTTTGCACTCCTTCTTTTTCTTCATCATATTTTGTACACCCTGTTCTTTGTTACACAAAGCTTTTCTACTTCTCTCTCCTGTCTTCCTCTTGTTTCTTTCTTCTTTCAAATATTGTTTAGGTTTTTTTCTGTGATGCCTAAGTTAGGAACTTCTCGGGTCCCAATTCTACCCTGCTTCAGAGGCCAGAGCTCTTACACTAGTCCTCAGCAAATCTCATTCCTTATCTTGAGATGGAATACCCAACCTGTAAAGCCCCAGACTTGCAGCATTTTTAGAGTTCCCTTCCTGCTGTGTGTTGATCTGAAGTCACTGCCTCTCTCAGGCTGTTCCCCTGACAGGGGTAGTCCCCGGCTGCCCTCACCCCTGTCCTGTTCAACACGAAACAGGGGGAGCCCTGCTCACACAAACTGGTAGACTGGCAGGACAGTAACCTGCAGCAGCAGGGCTCAGAAGCTGAACATAGGAACAAGTGTCTGATCACAACTAAAGGCTGATTTTCACATCCAGATTTAAGCTCCACCAGGTAGGCATGCCATCCCACAAAGGAAGTAGAAAAAACACTTCTTCATCTGATGGATGATTTCTATTTTTTCATTACAAAACCCTCATTCCCGTGTTGCCTTTTAGATGAATGGAAATCAGAGCAGTGTGGACTGACCTTCTCCCTTTTCCGTTTGTCCTCAGGGTGCATCAATCCTCAGAATGATTCAAGACTGGATTACACCAGAGCTCTTCCGAAAAGGCTGTCAGGTAAAGGCGGCACCAAAACCCAACAGACATACAGCCCATCTTCATGTGACAGTAGCAAAGCCATTGTTCAAAAAGGGAATATCAGAGATCCTGGTATTGGTACTGAAATTACTTAGTGCATTAAAGTACTGAGTTGACAACATGGAGAGGAAGAAATTCCATGGTCCCACAGAAGCAGGAATGTGAACTGCATAAAGATTTTATAGCCGGACAGTGAGGAGCTAAATTCCTGACAGTTTTTAATGGAAAAAATTACTCTACCCCACTGTTATGCTGTTGTCAGCTGGGATCCCCTCATTTTGCTGTAAAGTGTGTCTGCAGCTTCCTATGGCCAGGATCCTCCAACCCACACAAGGCTGCTATGTAGGGACACTCTTAGAGGCATAAACTCATCCGTGCCCTGATACAGGGACACCCAGCCTTAGAAAGTCAAGGGCTGGGTCAAGGTAATAGAAAGAAGAAAAGGGATATATTGCACCTTTCATAGTCTTTTCTTGTGGAGGAAAAACGTGGTGCTACAAAACGACAAAATGTGAGAAAGGAGCTGTCCCAGAAGGAGAAAGGTTTTCTGTCCTTTAGTCTGAACAGACATTGGTACTTAAGTTTATCAGTTACAGCACAGGCTTACCACATTTGCTCTTACTTCCCTCTCTCATCAAGAGCACATTTATGGGCTGTTACAAGACAGTTGTATTTTCCTGTACTTCCCCTTTTTATATATTCATATTATCAGAAGTGTTACTCAAGATGGGAAAATACAGCCACCTCGTCCCCAAGAACCTAACCCCTCCCTTCTGCTGAGAGCCTTCAAGAGCACTAACGTAGGCAGCTGTGGCCAACAGCGAAACAAACAGCACCATCTACTGACTGAACACCACCAGGAGCAGGTGGCGTGGTAGCAAAACACCCGCCAAGCAGCCAGGGAAGACGTAGGATGGAAAAAAGGTTTAGGCGTTGCAAACTCTTCACTCAATACCATTACTCCTTGTAACAATCGTTTTGATCAAAACCTAGGGGTGACTAGACTTTCCTGCTTCCACTCTGAGTCCACAGGCAGCAAAATCTTATGAAATATCTTCCTCCTGCTAAGCAGCCTCTTACATTAGTCAGAAATTTGCAACAGGGTATAGTGGTGCTGTTTGTTTTAAACAAAACACAAAGAACTCTTCGAGTACAAATTTATTTCTTACTAACAAGTCACTCTGGAAAATGCTGACTTTTGGTGTTATGTGATGCATTGGATAGCAAAGGAATTTCATCAGCTGAATACTGATCAATTCAATTTCCCACTCACAGTACTCACAGTACCCATGTATCTCAGTACTCTGTGCAACTGAGAGGCACTCTCTGCATCCCTGTACAACTGCATATGTGTATTGTTTTCATCGGTAAAGAAGAAACACTGGTAGTATTTTCACAGTCTTCTATCTTTCTCTAGGCGTATTTGAAAAAACACCATTTCCAGAATGCCAAGACACAACAATTTTGGGAAGCTCTGGAAGAGGTATGTTTTGCATCCACCCAAACCCTTCCTAATAAATGTTTTATACCTCACCCACTGATTTCAGTTTCTCAAACTTTTAATATTCTGTAGCTCTTCTGTCAATGAGAGATCACAAGCTAGGCAGCCTCCATTTATATTTTTTTTTTTTTTTGCATAAGGCTGTAGGAGTGGAATAAGGAACAAGAAAGGAGGCCTTGCTAACATTTTTGTTACTTGCTACTGAAGCATTCCCCCTGCAATGCAAACTCATTTCATGTGTGAAAACACCTCTCATCCACCACACACATGCACCCCATACTGTCTCTTTTCTCTATCCAGATTTAGGTGTTTGAAAGCTCTCAGTAGTATCAATTCCAAAGTAATTTTGGTGCTTATCTCCTGTTTCTAGCTACTGAGTCATCTGCGCCACCACAGATCTTTCCTCTTCCTTGAGGCTGGACAATTTTTTTCCATCTATCCCATTACCTCCCATTACACTTGCATACTGTTAGGTTCTTCTCTGATATTATTTCCTTTTCTTCTAACACTGTGGACACGCACACAGCCTAAATTGTGCTTTTGTGTCTCTTTTCCAGTTCTGATCTTCTCCATGGTCCCAGACTTCTTCCTACTCAGCAGAACTTCCTTCTTTCTCTCTCTCTAGTGCTTTGCATCTTCATGTCATTTACCTCATCTGGAGAAGGAAACACTACAAGTGACCCTAGCTCACTTCCCTCACAAGTGGCATCCTGGGGAGGTAGTGACAGTTTTTTTCCAGCTCCAGTTCCTGGGACAGGTGTTCAGGGTTCACAGAATGAATCAAATTTTACATTGGTGCAGCTGCTAGTTAATACTGGCTCTTCCTTCACACTCAAAACAGGACACACTGCAAGGAGGCTTCTGGCTTTAAAAATCCCCCTGTGTCCTTTCTATTCAGTTTTTCTGTCAGAAAAAAACTGAGATCTTAGAGCAAGGGGCCTCAAAGGTTCCTCAGTATTTCTTATTCATGTTACTGGCCAGTCTCCTGCCTACAGATTTCTCATTTCTTCTGTGGGTGTTCAAGTTTCCAAATATTTTTTTTCTTCAATGACAGGCACCTTAAAAGGATTTAATAGAGGATTTTTTTGTTCTGAACATGCTCTTTCCTCTGCCGCTTTCTGCTCTTCTTTTTCTTAATACCAGAGTTACTTTCTTTCCTCTTAGGACTGAATTTCCGTTTTCACTGCAACCTTCTTCTGTCATTCATAGGCAAGTAATAAATCTGTGAAGGAAGTCATGGACACATGGACTGGGCAGATGGGCTACCCTGTTTTGGAGATGGGAGATAATTCAGTATTCATACAGAAACGTTTTCTTTTGGATCCCAAAGCAAATGCTTCTCATCCTCCTTCTGGTCTTGGGTAAGTTGCCATTGCAAATATTGATTCAAACCAGGTAGAAACTAAGTAAAATGTACCTCATTTACAAAAACAAAACAAAACAAAAAACCACAAATGAACAAAAAAACAAAAAAAAACCCAAAAACCCAAAACCGAACCACAAATAAACAAACAAAAACCCAAAAACCTATATGGGTTTTCTCCTGGGAAACACAATACCTCTCTAAATTCCATTGTAGTAAGCTCCATAAAAGAACTAGTAAAACTAGAAATGTATAAATCTGTTAAGATATTTTGTTTAGGAGATAAACAAAATAATAAATCTTTCTTCCTGGAGGTAGGAGGAGATACCATAGCATTAATTTTTTTTTTTTTATTTCCTGAAAGTTACTGACCATTTACTTTACCCAGGGTTATAAAGATGACATATATTTTCCCATAGCATTAGTCACCAAGGGGAAGTCTCCCTGGGATGAACTATAATATACTAACACAGAAGAGCAGCTGACTGCTCAGAAGGGCTTAATAATTTTAGCTGCCCTAAGCAGGTGGATGACATTACACTCCCAGCATGCTCTGCTGTCCCATGTACTTCATTGCCTGGTCACAGTCTTGGTTGGGCTGTGCCATGGCTGTATTCTTGCCCAAATTTCTCATTTTTGTCCTGGGAATGCCCTGGACTGAGGAATCTACACCTACACAATAAAGGTATACAAGGAGCTGAGAAACAAGAGGTATGGTCGCATTTGGCTCCCAGGGTTTTATAATGAAGGAATTAGAGTTGTCTTGAAGAAGATTAGGCTGGAAAAAGCAAGAGGTCCTGGTAACTGTATTGCAGTGGTTGCTTAAACCATTTCATTTTTTCAATCTGTAAATAACTTCTGTAATACTTAACCATTTATTTCAAGTCAGCATTGCAAAGATTAACTACTGTCTGCACAAAGCCCTAAACGCATCAACATTAACACTGACACCAATTATTCACATACAGACATCTTTTACTAAATTAATTCCTTTGTATCCTGCTAGAATATTGCCTGACATATTATTTAGTAAATGTATATGTTCATAAGTACAAGTTGGCTTCATAAAACAAGATGTAAGCACTAAAATAAACAAATAAACAAAGACATATTGGAGGTTTGTTTTTTTTTTTTACCATTTGGCTTCAAATGTAATTTGATTTTCTTTCCCTCTACATAATTTCAGTTATAAATGGAATATACCAGTCAAATGGAAGCGTGGTGATTCATCAGGTTATACTTTCTACAACGCATCAGATTCTAGAGGTAAACATCTTTTTAAGGGTAATGAATGCATAAAACTTTTCAATATCATTTACAAAAAAACAGAGCACAGAATGAACTTTCATACTTTCCAGCTTTCAGATCTCAGAGCTAGCACCCAGCTTGGTTGTAGTGCAGTTACTAGTAGTTGCAATGATAAGATTACTATTTCCCCTGTACAAATGTTATGTCAATTTAGGCTCAGTTTCAGTAGTGCCTAAGCATCTGTTTAAATACAGTCCTATTTAAGGAAACATCCATGCATACTCTTAATTACAATGCACTAAAATAAATTTGGCCTAGATATGGCCATTGTCCAGTCCAAGAAAAGAGAAGTGGGAGGCTGATGAATGCTTCTGGCATGGTAAACTGGCAACTCAAGTTCAATTAAAGAAAAAGAACTACAAATGATTAATCACCTTTTCTAATGCTGATTTCAGAACTGAGAAAATTCCTACATGCTTTTTTTTGGATCGTTGTTCTATTATGCAGTTAAATCTGAATTTCTTGTTTTACACTTCCAGTGGACAAAAATGTGGGGAAAAATTACTGACTTTTTTCAGGTTTTAAATTACTTCCCATTAAATTTCAGAAACATTACAATTGGGTCATCTTTTCTTGTACTTGTTTGTTACTTATTCTAAATACAATTTGTCTTGTTCTGGGGTCTTTTTTAACCTGGTTTCTTTTAATATCCATGCAAAAGCAAACAAAAAAGTATCTTATGTCATGATACAAGTCAGAAGTCAACACAAAGAAATTTTCTTTCTTTGATTTCCACATGATATGAGGGGTGAAAGGGGCTATTAACTTCACAAAGCCTGCAAAGTCTTGATTAGATGCTTACTTTTACATACATAAAATTTCTGTCTTGCATGGCAAACACCAACTGTAGGGAAAAATCCCTTTAGAAATACTTTGTATGTATCATCCAAAGAGAAATGTGCTTTTAACTACAGCCACCCTCAAACCACAGATTGAAGACCACTGTTTTCAATGGAAATAGAAAAAAATTCGTAAGTAGCATTACCAACTGGACCAGGTCAAGCTTCTGAGAAAGGAACATTTTTCAAGTATTAATTTTAAATGGGAAACTCCTTTAACATGAGTGCTTGCATGAAGTCTCAGCCTATTCTGTAAATCGTTTCTCAATAGCTTCAAAAAAAGAATCAAAGAAGAGTACAGGAAAGAAAAGTTCAAGTTAGTTGAAACAAACTGAAAAATTAAACTAATGGAGGATAAAGTAGATGAACTTTAATAGTGCACATGAGGATGAAAAATGTTTAAAAATATATATTTTCAAGAACTGCTTCTTTGCAATTCTTTACTTCTTATAATGACACTAAATCTCACCATCCTCACCCTACTCACAATGATCTCCATTTCAAATTTAACAAACTAACTAGCCCAAGTAATTACCATGATTCATTGTTCTAAGACAAGTAAGTGCCGGCATTCATCAAAATCCATAATAACTCGTCTTTACTCAGAGCCATTTAGAAATAAAAAAGAAATAAATGAAATTAAGAGTTGGACCTTATTTTGATATCCATTAAAACCAAATAATCCTTTTGGAGTCCAGGAATCTCCCGTGAGTTCTGCATCATATAAGGCGCACAAACTGATCACTCTTTGTTTTGTAGGAATTACAATAGAAGGTACTTCTGATACTTTTGTGAAAGTTAATCCAGACCACATTGGATTCTTTCGGGTGAATTATGATAGTCAAAACTGGGCCACGTTAAGCAGTCTTCTGCTCCAAAACCACACAGTGAGTGTTGTAATGTCTAACTTGTCTGGTGGGTCACTTCTAAGAGGTCTGTAGAGGCTGGAGTTTTTCTGCAAATAATCTGTACCCTCTTTTCCTCTTTTCATACAGAGTTTTTCAGCTGCTGATCGTGCAGGGATTTTGGATGATGCCTTTTCTTTAGCAAGGTAAATGAATTCTCTGCAGAGACTTCAAGACAAGTTTTTCACTTTCTGTTGCCTAATAATTAGAATTCACACAACCCACGTGGTTGAAAGAAATTTTCTGACTTTGGTACGAGCTTTAAATCTTTGTTGCTTTATCTTGTCCTCCAAAAGGGGTGCTTTTATGCATTGTCAACTTGCATTACCCAATGCAATCAAGAGAAATTCTCCCTTTCAGTACCATGGCAAGAAAAAAGGCTTTAATGGCACAGGTCTTAGAAAGGGGTGTTTTCTCCATACAATTAACAATAATAGCAGCACTCCAGAAGAATTTAGGTATCCAGAAAAGCAGAGGCATGCCTACAATGCATACCATAGTAGTTTGTTTAGAAACTTGATGGGAAACTTCTAGATCTTGTGCCCAGCCATGGTGACGCAGATAAATTTTAGGCATCTGTAACAGCTTCTCAGTCTAAGTCTCCTCAGCCTTTCAGGATGTCTCCAACTAGCAATTCCTTTCCTTTTTGTAATATTAATGTAGTCAGTTAAGGGCTGCCCACTTCTAGGCACACTGGGCTGTTGCACAATGCTAGCAGTCTTCTCACAATGGCACAGCTCCTATGGTTAGGCATGGATCAACAGTGATCCTCAGTTATCTCTTCGGAAAATACCTTCCAAGTTGCATTCCAGACTACTTTCTCCCTCAAAAACTTAACTATTTCAGGCCTCCTAAAGTAAATAGTAAATCTAATATCTTTGAAGAAGCAAGTTCTTCAAATTCATTAAAATAACAGAAGTTATGTTTTCTCCTTTCACAGACCTGGACTTGTGAATTACTCTGTTCCCCTGGAACTCACAAAATACCTAAGAAACGAAACAGAATATTTACCTTGGAATAGAGCTGTATCAGCTGTAACTTACCTTGCAAACATGCTTGAAGATGATAAAAATCTCTATCCCGTGTTTCAGGTGATGAAGCAAAATAAAAGCAAATCCAGCTTGGGACCACTGAATCTGATAATTCAGAATCTCTAACAAGAATAATACTGAAGTTCAAGTGATTTTCAGCGTTGCTGAACTATTAACATTTACTTTTCATTACTGGTCTCTTAAAAAAAAACCTCTCTAAACAATGCTTAGTAGTGGTATCTGAATTATTTGGATTCTGCATTCAGGACCATGCACCTGGAGAAAAGAAATTATCCCTAATTATTCTTATAATCTGTCACTGTAAAGCATGTTACAGATATTTATTAGTCAAGGCTGTCCAACCTTCAATAAAGAAGGGCAGCAAAATCTCAGACACCTGTCCTCAGCAAAAAGGATGGCTGCATATCTATGTGGCAGTGAGTAGGTTTTTTAGTTGACCTAAAATACTGAACATGATTTAATGGTCACTAAAGTATGTCCTGAACTCTCTATCATCTCTGGAAAGTAGCTGTGGCAGTGTGTCCTTGCTGGACCCCAGCCTTCATCTGGGAGCACAGACAAGGTTGGAGAAAAGCAGGTTGGCTTTGTCCCATCTGCACATCAGTATTGCAAGCATTCAGACTTGGCACGCTGGAAAGATTTTGTGTGTGCCTGTTCATGTTACTTTTCATTCAAGAGATGCTAGTTCTGAAAAAAAATTAAGGAGAATAAACTATGAAATTAAATATATTATTATTTAAAGAAATCTACACATGTAACCAACACCCTTTTTCTACCTCAGACGTATTTTAGCAATCTGGTAAAGCCAGCTGTGGATCAACTAGGCTGGGAAGATTCTGGAGACCATTTGCAGAGGTGGGACAATCTTTATTTTTTCCTTTCCATGTTATTGATGCATTCAAAGAATAGTTAGCAGTAGGAAACTATCTCTCTCCCTCTCTCTCCTTCCAAGGCTTCTTCGTGCATCTCTTCTAGACTTTGCCTGCAGTATGAATGATGAAGAATCTTTGCGCAATGCTTCTCAACTCTTTGATAGATGGTTACAAGGAGAAACGTGAGTGCTCACATCTTTTGTGGTTTGTGAAGAACACAGCATGTGACTGGGTCACTGATCTCAAGCAGGAAAAGGAGAGGAATATTTAACTACTGTTTCTTTATTTTAGTATTGCTGCAAATCTCCGACTCATAGTATATCGCTATGGGATGCAGAACTCAGGCAATGAGACATCATGGAATCACATGTTCAAAGAATACCAAAAAACTACATTAGCCCAAGAAAAAGAAAAGCTGCTATATGGCCTGGCATCAGTGAGGAACATCACCCTTTTGGACAGGTGATTTAAACACACAAAGATTTCTCTTTTTCTACAGAAGCAACTAGTCACTGTTTGCTCATTCCCCTTTTCCTCTCTTCTGTGCTTTCATTTTGGTCAGATTACAGCATGAGGAATGCAACACATTTGCAAGACCAGTTATCTAAATCTAACATGCCCCTCTGAGACTGTACTACAGCAGGAAGAAAGCCTTGTTCTTTTAGTGGAAAGATATTGAAGACGTGGTAGTTGCTTCACACAATCAACAACCTTTAGTTCTTCCAAAAGTGCATTCACCCTATGCAATTTTAGCTGCTAAATAGTTAAGCATCAAGAGTAAATTAGTCATCCATTTCCTCTTTAATCAGTGAAGAGAGGCCAGACCTACAAAGCACTGCTTATCCTAGGCCAGGATAGGGGCTTAAAATCAATGGAAAGAATTGCTTTTAGGTGTTGTCAGCCTCCATTGGCTCCAGTTTGTTTAGTCTAGATGTCTACCTTCTAACTAGCTAAAATTAGGCAAACAACCTTGAGTGATTGTTATTAACAGCCCTAGGAAGGCATCCATGAGAACTTGCAATGCTCCCTGAGGTGCTGTGCAGAAGTACTTAAGCTAGAACCAAAAATGTTGAATTCATGCCGCATGTCAATGATGAGGAGTCTGGATACTGCCCCAGACTGGTCCAGCAGACTGTCAAACTGGGCAAGTATCTCACCAGGCTGTCACCCTGCATAGGCACATCAGCTACTTTAGGCTTATCAGATAACTTTGCATGTTTTTGTATCATGTAGCACTCATGCAAGAAAACATCTACACCAGGGACATTCACCACTGTATTGATGCCCTATCTAAATGTCATAACATGGTTATAGAACAAATTTAAAGGAGGTGAAACAAGGAAGTGTAGGAAATTCAGGAAGAGTAAATACAAGAATTAGAGTAATTGAAATAATGGTATAAAGCAGCTTCATTCCTAAATTCTTGTGACCACAGCAGTCATAATCAAAATCCATTAAATAGCTAATGGCTGACATGATTAAGACATGAATTAATTGGCTACGTCAGCCTATATTTGTAGAAAATAAAAAAATCCCTTCTAAAGCAGGGAAAGCTTGCCTCTTAGTTTACTACTAAAATAACAAGCAAGGAGGGCAAACAGATTGGACAAAATTGTCCATTACATACAGGGAAAAAGAAGACAATCCTTAATCCAAAAGCACAAGAGCTTGAAACGGTGTTCTTCTACAGCTGCTGCTGTGAATCCATGACCATGCTACTCACCTCCCTGCAAACATGTCTGCTTCACCCTGTCAGTCAAAACTATCTGTGCCATAACTTGAAGTGTAACTACAGCACGTGCAGGCATGCTCTGCCCAAATGAATTTTAATTTTGTACAGATAAAATTTTCCAAACAGAACAGATGTCAATGTGAGCAAGCATTCATGGTCCCTGTAAGATCTTTAAAGTCTGGACTACTATTTTTTTGTTGCTTGGCTGAACTACTAACTGATCCAGTTTTGTTTTCTCTACTGCATTAAAATATAGGAATAATAATAGCATTTGGCTATTTTGAAGTAGAGACATAAACTCTACCTACTTTACTAGAGATTCCTAACTATGATTTCTTTCAATGCAATTATCTCTTGATACAGTTACATTTTAGATCTGCGTACTTTACCTTTAAAATGCTGTAGGAAAAGAATAATACTCCTGTTTGGAAATGGCTCTCATCAATTCCTATGGCATTTCCCTTAGGTATCTGAAATATATTTACAACACCAGCCTTATCAAAAGCCAAGATGTGTTCACAGTCCTGAGATACATCTCATATAACACCTATGGGAAAACAATGGCCTGGGACTGGATACGACTGAACTGGGAGTACTTAGTTGACAGGTACTCTAATGAACTCATGGGAAACTACATCCACCTGTAAATCTTGTTACATGCCATGCTTTTCTGTGTTTTCATTGTACAGCTATAATCACTGGCCTTTGCAAAATGAAAACTGAAAGCTTATTCAACACAATTATATCCATTTGCTGTGGCAAAAGTACTTTGTTGCTAACTTGAAAACCATTCTTTCCCTAAATGATCACTACCAGTAAATGGTGATCAAAGAGAGAAAGTTTTACCAAAGCCACAGAAATCTGGTTATAGCATGGAAACTATTGAATCAAGTCTCTGCTCTTGCAACTGATTTCATCATGTGACCAAGATGACAGAGTATATATTTTTTTTAATTTTAGATTTTATTCTAATGGTAACAGCAAGCAGCTGACATACAGATGAGCAGTGGAAGTTATAGCAAACCTTTCAGCTTTTCTCCTCAGTATTTAAGTATTGAGTATTCTCTCTCCTTCCATCTCCTTTCTAAGTACTTGGTGAGGGTACAGAAGGAAAGCACACCTGCAAGCCTAGAGCTGTGAACTGGACAGTTTTTGTATTGCCAAGCAGCAATACTCCTAACTTCCATCCTGAGACGATCAGCAATTACTTTTTAAAAAATTATTCCACCATAAGAGTTCACTCCATTAGTAAGTATATTTAAGAACAGCTCAGATATTATGTAGGGAAGCTATTCTTCAATTGTTTCAAAAAATGCTGAAATTTGAGTGTATCTGCATTATTGTAATACAATAGAAGTTCAAGCTTCAGATAATTATGGTTTTACATCAAACATCATTTATTAAATTGTTTTTCTAGATTCACTATAAATGACAGAACCCTTGGTCGAATAGTAACTATTACCCAAACTTTCAACACTGAGCTCCAGCTTTGGCAGGTATGGTGATATCAATTCTCTTGGGTTTAAGACAAATATATTTAACAATCTTCTGGCCAGGAAACGTAATTTTTTTGTCCTCTAAATGCTTAAACCAGCAGGAGTTAACTGTAAAACTATTCCAGTGCTACTATCTTGAGCTTATTGATCTCTCCCAGTCAGAATTACCCCTAACCATGTCTTTGTAAAAAGCTGCTTGCCCAATAGCAGCATTCTTTATTTCACATCAATTCTTTTTCTCTTTTCCAGATGGAAAATTTCTTTGAAAAATATCCTAATGCTGGGGCAGGAGAAATGCCCAGAAGTCAGTCACTGGAGCAAGTGAAGAGCAACATTGAATGGCTAAAAGAAAACAAGGAGGAAATAGAAACATGGCTGAAAGCATAGTAAGGCTTCAAAGTCTTACTTTGTGAAAAAGATCAGGCACTCAGATCTTCAGAGATGTTTAGCAATGTGGATTTCTCACCTAGATACTTTAAAGGACTAAGACCTAACATTTTTTTCTACAAACACTCAGAAGACCACTGCCAGAGCAATGTTTGTGTAGTTGTTTAGCAGGAATATCTTTGTATGTTGAGAGCTGAATTTGCCTGAACAAACAGGACAAAGGTTTAAAGTCAATCAAAGCAGAAGTGATGGCAGAACTGGAGTCCTTGCTGATCACTCTGGTCTCACTCCTTACGCACACCACTCTGCAAAGCTACTTCTTGGTTCACACAGACGTATATCTAGTACACTCAGGGATTCCTTTCCAAGTGCACCTCATAGGAGCTTTCTCCTGAAGGAAAGGGAATTAAACAATAGTTTTGACATTGTCTGAAAATCTTCCCCTATTTTTATAGCTGTAAAAATTCTATGTCTGGGATTTAGATTTGCTTTCTGATACTACAGAAAGGCCACTTAAGCTTTCCTCTCAATTGATTTTTGAAGTTTAACTACCGGTACACAAGGGATCAATTTTATCAACTTCTTTTTCAATGTTATTAAGTGGGATTCTGTAGTTTAGGGTAGGGGTTGTCTTGGTTACTTTTGTCTTATTTCTAAATCTTTAAGAAAAAAAAAAAAAGAAGAGAACTTGTGGCAGCCAATACTGCAAACAAGACATGCTTTACTTACTGTTTCTTTTCTTATAGAAAAATAAAATTAAAAAATCTATGTGAAATCTCAGTTTCTTTCTAATGAAGTGATGAAACTTCCTGGTTTATAGAAAAACAGCTGTTACATAGCTCAGCTGTGCTGTACATAATACCTCCAGTGACTTCCAAGGGGGGAGAAGTCTATTACCTCCTCTGAGAAAACACAGAAAAAATGGCAAATGCACCCAGAGGGATCAGATGAATCCCACTGCTGCAACAGAGTCTATTGCACGAAAACAGACAGCAAAGAAAGAATTCTCAGTCCCAAGTCCCTCTTCCCCTGTGATGCTGGAGAAAGCATTAGAGCTACTCTGCCTGTCTCTCCCAAGCTGGAAGCTGGGGGGGCTTTGGAGTTCACAGATTTCCATGTGCTGTGTCCTGACACTGGACAAGCAGCAAATGCGAGCACCTCCTTGCCTTTTCCCTGGTCTCCTGAGTGGAGACCATAACCAGCTAGAGCCAATGTCTGTCCAGATATCCTGGGAGCAGGATCACAGAGCACCTCATAGGAGGTAGCCCTGGGAGATTTCATGCACAGCTGTTGGGAAACTGCAGTTGGATCAGAGGACAGAAGCATGGAAAAGCACTTCTCGTACCTTCATCGTGCAGTGCTGTCCAAAGGGGAGATGACTGTAAGGTACAGACATTTTGGTACAGGCTACATGCTTGCCTCTGGGCCTTGGTACAGCACAGAGGACTCCAGAACAACTTATATAGTCCCAGATGGAAACACTTTACCCCATTTCCACATTTCATTCAAGGCTGGTACTGCTTTGGGCCTCTCTCTAGACACCCAAATAGCTGTGATAAGCCCAGATAAATCCAGTGACAAAGTCAGTTGTCCTGTTGTGCTGGTTTTGGCTGGGATAGAGTTAATTTTCTTCACAGTAGCTGGTGTGGGCTATGTTTTTCATTTGTCCTGGAAACAGTGTTTATAAAACAGGGATGTTTTCATTACTGCTGAGCAGTGCTTACAGTGTCAGGGCCTTTTCTGCCTCTCACACCACCCCACCTGAGAGGAGACTGAGTGTGCATAAACTGAGGGGACACAGCTGAGACGGCTGATCCCAACTCACCCAGGGGATATTCCATACCATAGTGCATCATGCTCAGCATACAGAGATGGAGGGGAGAAGGAAGGTAGGGACATTCAGAATGATGGCATTTGTGTTCCCAAGTAACCATTATGTGTAATGGAGTTCTGCTTTCATAGAGATGGCTGAACACCTGCCAGCTCGTGGGAAGTGGTGAAGGAATTCCTTGTTTAGCTTTACTTGTATCCACAGCTTTTGCTTTAATTATGAAACTATGTCTCAACCCATGAGGTTTTTTGTTTTCTCATGCTCAATTCTCTTCCCCATCCCACCCAAACGGAGTGAGCAAGTGGCTGTGTGAGGCTGAGATGCCAGCTGGGGTTAAAACACAAGATCCGTCAAAGGAAAATATCAGTCATTTTCCTCCTGCAAACAAAACATGGCAGGATTTTGACTAACAGTGGTTACAACTTGCTAGCGACAGCTAGTGACCAGCTGCTCTTCAAGGTGAGGAGGTGGCAAAGGGCCAGGCAGTTCCTTCCAGTTTTTCTGGTTCCGATTCACACGCAGAGAACAGTGAAAGTGAAGCAGCTTCCCACACCCAAAACTACCAGCAGCAGACAGGGAGCAGATTGTCCTTGGGCAGCTGCCAGCTCAGTACAGCATATGACAACTCACCTATTTTACACTTTTCATGAACTGAAGGAGTGGAAGCCAAACAAAAACTCTTTTGGTTTCAAGGTCACAAACTGGTTACGTAGCATCACACAGTAATGCCATCAGCACATTGTATCACTGTGACTATCAACAGTATAAACATCTCTGAAAAATTTTCTGTGTACACTATGTTTTGATTGAAGGTTTTTAATTTCAGCTGGCCATGATGTCAAACATTGCAAAACCAATATGAAGATATCCAAGCACACAGCTCATGATTTAATGAAATTTTGGCAAAAATAACCGATTTTATTACTCACACATTTCTGCCACAAGTTGCTGCAGAAAGAGAAGTATGACTGTTACGGGAGTTGTACAACATTAAGAAGTTATTTTAAGGTTTTTTTATCCCTTGTTACATGTAGCCCATACTACCACCAAGTGGGACCAGGCTGGCCAACTTTGTCAGCTACAGTAGCAGGCTTTCATCAAGGAAAACATAGGAAGTAATGAAGATTTTTTATGATTCAGGACAGCTACAGCATTAACAGCCTTCATCCAAATCACACAGACAATACCACTGCTTCAGACAAGACGTATATTGGTAGCATTGTGTATCACTGTAGTAGAAAGAATAAAAAAGGTCAGAGAGAGAGAACAGAAACATATCACTGAAACACAGAGAGAAAGAGAAGCCAGGGACAAGCCTGAACAACTACTGAGCTCATGGTCCTGGGTGAATGGGGGAGAGAAGGAGATTTAAAGAGTGAACCAAGCAATTTCCACCTGTCATTTGATTCTCATTCTCTTCAGGAAGTTGTGACCAACTGCAGCTTTTGTGCCTGAACCACACTGGATTGGAGAGTTTTGACTAGCGCTTGGATACTTTCGATGTTACAGAAAGGTTAGCTGGATTTCTACACTCATCTTAAGTGGGTAGAGGAACATGGAAGAAAGTCCAAAAGCCCCAGAAGGCAGCTACTTTTATGATAGGGTAAAGGTTCTGTCAATTTTAAATAATGTTCTCTAGATTATGCCGTGCTCTTGCTACCTTTAAATGGCTCATGGAGGATGTAGTGTATGGCATGTGCCTCTTTCAGACTGTTTGTCCGAGACGGATAACAAATCTAGTACATGCTAAATCTTTCAGTCAGGAACTGGTGCATTTATAAATGGTTTGTGATAAGCTTAAGAATGCCAATTTGAAACTGAATCCAAAGAAATGTGAACTGTTTTAAAAAGAGATAATTTTCCCTCGGTCATTCGATCAGCAAGGAAGGAATTTCTACTGATAAAGCTGAGTGAGGGAGTGCAGAACCAGCTGGCCCCTTAGATCCACACAGTTTTTTGAGACTCTGCTGTTCCTATTGTACCACAGCAAAAGCTATTGCAGGCAGTGAAGCAGAGAAACATCTTGTGTAATCAAAATGCAATGTGGCAGAGTTAAAGAGGGGCCACTTACAACTTTTGCAGTGTTGCCTTACACCAGCTCTGCAAATCCGTCTCATATCAGCTACAGCTGTGCGTCCTATAGAGCCTGAACCCATGGGCCCCAGGAGGCTTTAAGCCTGATAGGAGCATGAAAATGCTTTATCTTGATAATTTAGGTAAAGAAAGAACTGAAGACATTGTATTACTGCACAGAGCAAAAAAATTAATAGCACCAATGGGAACACCAAGGCGTCTACAACTCCCTGACTGAGACAGTTTCTAAACCAGCAGTTAAGATCTCTGTGAGTATGCAGACATAAAAAAAAAGACCCCCACCTTAAACATATGGCATGCCTGTTGAAATAGAACATGACTGGGAAGTATCCCTCCAGTCTTCCCACAATAACCAGTACCATTTCTTGGCATTTTGTGTGACGGCATCTTCCAGCAGCTTTTGGGACTCAAGGTGAGAGGGAAAAAGCTAGCCCGTGTTGGGCACAGGAACGCCTAGATAAACCGGGTCTGAAGGCTAGGAACTTGTCCAGTTGCTACCAACTTTTTCCAAGATGTGCTTCAGAAAAAAAAATCAACTACAAATATATTTATAAAGCATCTGAAACCTATATGGTTCAGGTAAGTCTGAGAGTTTCTGACTTCCCAATGTACATTCTAAAGAGTCATGAGGGAAGAGCAAATCCTGAAAAATATGACCACAATATAGTGTGAAAGAAAATGACACAACTTCTGTAGCTGCAAATGTCTGTTGTGCTTGTAACAACACCTAAAATCTAAAAAATACCATTAGTAAGTAGCACTCACTAGTTATTTCAGTAATCTATCACTTGCAGAAATCCTTTCCATATCAATGTTCTCTTCTTCCCAAACTGATATCCAGAGACTGCTACCAAGCTGACACCTACTTTCTGATGATCTACTTTCATGATGCTGAAACAACATGCATGGATGGTCTCAAGAACCAGGTAGCCAGGGAAAGGAAGATATCCAAGCATGAGAGAGGACTGGAGCCTAACTCTACAAAAGGAAGGCTGGAGCATGGTCATTTTTTTTAGTAAAAAGCAAAAGTTAATTTGAAGTAGATGTTGCAGTTATAAATGTTATATCCATCACA